GGACGAAACTCACTACTGAAGTTGTTACAACTACCTTGAACACTGAAATGCTGTTAAACACTTAACAATGCAACAAATAATATACCAGTCGACAGGTATGTTCAGCTGCATTGTAGGAGCCAGACTGAGCTATGTGTTAATATCTTGTTGTTGATGTGTGGATGTGAGTGGGAGAGAGTGCATGTGTGCCTGAGTGGCTATGGGTGTGTTTTAACTCCACCGAGAGGAGGCTGGAGAGGCTGGCTCCACCTGACTGAGGAAGCTGAAGGTGGAGCCCACGGGAGAAGGCTTAAGAACCAGCTGCCACAGCATCTGGGTGTGGCTGAGGAAGGCAAACCGTTTTCTGACCATGTGGCTGCATCAAGGCCTTCTTTAAGACTCTTTAATTTAAAGCTTTTTTATTCTATTTTGACTTGTAATTCAACGAACAATGAATGCAATAAATGGTCAGTGGGACTGATTGAATCCACTTCTACTCATCATCATTGATCTTCGTGTATCAAGACTAAATCTAGCTCAGGCATCAGTCGTAGTCAAGCAGCAGACTGAAGGGGTTTGCTGAAATTGCCATTACATGCATTATCTGCACTTTTACTTTGATATTTTAGTGCATTTTCCTCATAATACCGTGCATTTACCAAAGAATATGTTTTGCAGTGGGATATTTTTACACCGCGGTATTGGTAATTTCACTTAAATATTTCAGACAACATATACAAACATCTTCTAACACACATCAAAAGTAATCTACACTGAAGAATAATTTGTGTCTGATGTGACTTTTGAGGCTAAAGCTCTGTTATAAATTCCTCAAATGATATCTACGCCTCCTTACTTATTAAAAACTTCAAAATCTATAATTATGCAAATATTTTTCACTTCAAAAAGTTAACTACTGGGTAAAAATATGTCTCCAACATCTCCAAAAGACCGTTCTCCATGCACGCACAATGCAAGCTTCAGGTTTGCACGTCACACTTGTGTCAGTCGCCTGCTGGACCCGGATTGGCTTCCTGACAAGTTGTCACATCACAAATCCTGCTCGCAGGTTCGCCCGTTAAACGAGACTTTTTTTTAGGCTGAGCTCAAAGAATGTTTTCATTTCAGCAGAAGAATTTTAGAACAGTCTTCTAATGCCAGGCCGCGCACATCCATCACTCTGTACAGTAAAGCTCAAATATTCAAGAGAAGCAACATTGATCAAAGCTCATTTTTGAGTAGAGCGAGGCTTTAAGTAAAGGATCTGAGTACTTCTCTTCTTAGATCAGTTTTCACCAGGTAATTGAACTTTTCATGCAGTCTAGCTCAACGAAGCAGCAGAATCGCCGTTTATGTATCGCCCTCTCGCACATTCTCCCGTCTAGCTTTTACCTGAAAAGTTCTTTACTTGATTACTCATCATTCACATGAATTAAATCTAGATTTATTTACATATTTTAACTTTTTTTTTTTTTCTTGTTTATGTTTACTGCACACTGTGGTGTCTGACTGCGTATCTGTGCGGAGAAACAGCCTCGACAAAACAAGAACAGCACACAACATTAGAAACTGGAGAGAAACTAAGTGGGTGATCTGATTAGACTGTGGAGTTTCTTGCTGCACAAATTATCATATTAATAAGAAAACCTAATTTTCCTTAGTGCTTTAAGATTTCGAGTTCATGCCTGAGTTCATATTAATACATTCTATGTAATATACAAAGACAGGTACTGTATGTTGACATAGGATTATCTGCAAATGAATGCACTGATTTACTTAATTAATAACCACATTAACATAACTGCTTATCTTCTATATATTATGAGCACAGTGCTGGGATATTAGGCAGTTCATGTGCCTCCTGGGGCACCGCAGTAGCTCACTTGTGATTACTGTCGCCTCACTGTTAGAGGGTACTGAGTTTGAACTCAAATAGAGCTGTACTGTGTGTGGAGTTATATCCTTATGTTTGCTGCTGTTTCCTCACATCCCACATTCAAACACTAGAAGTACTGCTGCTGCTGTCCTCTTAAGACCACATGCTTTAGCTACAAAACAATCCTACCTTTTTTAAATTTTTGCTGACAATGTGCAAACGCATATGTCATATTGTTACTTCTCCTTTCCAGGCATCCACTGGTTTTGAATCATTTGATGTGAAATTCTGCTAGCAAACTAGTGAAAGTTGCTCTGCTGCATTACCTCGTAACAATAGGCTAATGTGACTTTAACAGAATATCTCTTGCTTCATACTTCAAGTGGAAGGGTGCCATGGAAGAATCACTACACAACACACTGCTCTAGTGCCATCCCACTGGCATGGATTAATGTCATGTAATCTATAACAGTGTACATTAAAGAGCCCATATGATGCACATCTAAAACTGTAGAATTTTATGTCTGGGATCTACTAGAATATGTTTACATGCTTAAATGTTCAAATGTCTTTTTTTTCTCTAACTGTACATTTCTGCAGCATCTCTCCGTCTGATATGCTCCTGTGTCTTTAAGGCTTCCCTCCTGAAAAACACAGTCTGCCTTGATTTTCAACTGACCAGATGAAAGTAACTAAAGGTTTTTGAGTACAGGGATGTAGCCTGAACAGACGTTGTGCTAGCATTAAGATAAAGTAAGGCAGTTGCTTATTGTTTGTATGAGGGCATTCCAAAGTAGCATTGATGCAAAGACATGGCACCTCAGCCATGTGTAAATGGTAAATGGTCTGCACTTATATAGTGCTTTTATCCAAAGCGCTTTACAATGTGTTTCTCATTCACCCATTCACACATACATTCATACACCAGTGGCGACAGAGCTGCCATGCAAGGTGCTGCCTGCCATTGGGAGCAACTTTGGGTTCAGTGTCTTGCCCAAGGACACTTCGACTGTGGAAGGGGCGGGGCATCGAACCGCCAACCTTGCGATTGGAGGACAACCCACTCTACCACCTGAGCCACAGCCGTCTGTGTGTGTTTTAGGAAACATCCATTTTCTACAGAGCCAACGGGAGTTATTTTTTCCTGCAGAAAACACCATGCAGGACACATCAGAAAACATCATGCAGTTTTTTCTGTATGTTTGCAGGTCTTTTACATGCACACACACACCAAAAAAAAAACCACAATATTAAAAAAATAAAAGTAAAAATGCCAAAACACATCATGGGCTCTTTAAAGTGGTGATCCTGAAAATATCTTTTTCATTGTCTTTGGCGACCAGTAAAAAGTTGTCACACACTTGTCAGTTGTCACCAGGACCACGCTTACAGAACATTATCCTTGTCCGTGTGGCCATAGTGACGTTTGTCTGCAACTCGAGCAGATAAACAAACTTTGTCATGTTAGCTCTGCCTATCATCTGTGGCTGAAAGAAAACTGCCTGATGATGGAACACCTGCGATTTTAGGTTGGAGTGTCACCACAGATGCCGGTTCTTAACATTGTAAATTCAAGGACTCTCAGACTTTCAGCTCAGTCACCCGTTTGTTACCTCATTAGTGACGACAGTGACTAAACAGGCATTTATTGAAATGAGATTGTCGTTTTAAGTCAAACATTAACAGCCAATTATGAAGCCTGTTTTTCTTGTTTCTCATATCACAGTAGGAAAAGCACAGTTGTAAGTAATAAATGAACAGCTGGATTCCATTGAGTTACTTCTATTTTTTCTAATCCTGGTACCTCAAAACCATTACATCTTGAGTCGTTTGTGCAAATAGCTTATAATGAGCAACACTGTTAACATGGAGGAAGAAGTCTAGTGGCATCTATATAGAGCCACTTTGAAGGGAGGATGTTGGGGTGGATGAATGGGCCCAAAAATGTTCTTTTACACACATTGTTTCATAAGCATCTGTGTGGTATCGTTAGCGAATCTGTGTGTCTAAAACTTAGTAAACCTTTACCAGAGAGGTATCAAATCAATCAATTGTAAAGTGTTTATTATTCAGCAGTGATTTTAACTCTTAGGGCTGGCACATCTCCTCCCGTCAGTATGCTCCAATGGGTCGTATCAGAGGTTAAAGGTCAAATGACCTAGAGATGGATGACAAATTAAAGGAAAAACATAAATCTATAACTTCCACAGTGAGGAGATCCAGCGGCTCTGTTATGCTGTGGCATTTTGTTGGCATAGTTTGGCTCCACTTAGAGGCAGGAGCCACTGCAAATCAATACGGATGCCATGCATACATGAGGTAAAATTGCATTTGCCCTGTATTGCGCTCTGAGCTGCAGGCTCTTTCTGTGCTAATGCTTGGACTCATTAATATTATTTCCACCAGCAGCAGGAGCAGCAGTGTTTGTAAAATGTTTAGCTGTGAATTAAAGGTGAAATTATTTGTGGTAAATGGGTAGCATATACAAAACCCGTCAGATCTTGAGAGGTTGGTGGCCTCCTATACTCATAAATAGTAAAGATGGGGACAGTGCAGAAGAGATTTTTTTTTTCCCTCAGGGGATTACCAAAGTATAACTGAACTTTGTGGACAGTTGGCTGAGTTTGGACATAAAAAAAAAAAACAAAGGCCCAGAGCCCTCTGTACTTTTTGTAATTAAAGCACAGGCTGATGCCAGGATCCGTGGCAGCCTTTTATATTTCTAAAAATCATTCCACTGTAGCTTGTTCGTGCCACAGAAGTGTCATTTTGGATGTAGCAGCCCCGAGACCCTGTAATCACCCGTCAGTCAAAAGTGGAATACAAAAACAAGAGTTCTCGCCAAAGTTGATACGTAATCCAGGGATAAAACAGTGACTTACCGGTCTAAGTCACTCAGTTCTAAGTAAAACAAATTAAGTTCTAAAAAGCCTTGTATATTTTAGCATGTATTAAAGTTTCTGACTCATTATCTCACCAGTTTGAACTTAAATTAACATAAAAATTGCCAGCAATATTCCCAGTCCCATCTTTTCCTGTCAAAAGAATTGTAAATAAGAAGAAAATGTTAATGTCTTCATACAAAGCTGACATCTCTTGGCCATTCAAACGCGAGGTTGAGTTTTTTTTCTGTCAGACATGAAAATTTCCAATGTGACTTTTATTCTTTTAACAAATTGGCACACTTTCCGCTATGTCACAAAAGTACACAATTAATACACATTATAGTTAGAATTATTTGGCATGTTTGATATGTTTTTACAAGAAGATTACCATGTGAAACAGTACTGTACATCGTCTCACAGCTTTCATGATATCACCTACAAACTTTTCTAACTCGGGAAATATTCACACATTTTCTTAAAGAATTTGATTTATGGATGAAGAGTAAGCAGTGCTTTTTTTTCTTCTTTTTTTTTTTAACTTCTCAAAAAATAAAAACAACATTTGATGAAAATGTTTACTTTACATAGTTTACAAATATAAACAAACCTACTGAAAAGTGAAAAGACATGTAAACTCACATTAAGTATTAAGGCCAGAGCACACTGGATGCAGTTACTGACGCTTGTCACTGGACGCTGTTTGTCGGATGCTTTAAAACTCGCTGCAGCGGAGAGATTTGATTTGCTGCACTGTGACACCGTAATGTTTAATTAACGTGTTTATTTAACGCCGTGTCTCCTCTACGGTCTGATTTATAAATTTGAATACCAGCTGGATGTCCAGTCAGGCTTTTTACTTCAATTATTCAGTCCAAATATGTTTTCTTTGCGCCAACTGAGCTCGCTGTCACACTTCAGAGCTTTGCTAACTCACCTTTTCCTCATCCACCTCTTGGCTTCTCTCAACCAGAATGTGGTCAAAAACCTGCATGATGTCATTTTGCCCTAAAGTGGGTAACAGTCACTGCAGGTTTACTAATCTTACAACATCCAGTCAAAGTCCAACTATGACTTCAATCAACTTTGAAGTACAGGATCGACCTGCACTCAGGGAAACAGTTTCATCTGCTGCCCAAGCATTTCTGCCTTTTAAACTATCGATCCGTATCCAAAGTTCGGTCTTCGTGTGAATAAACCATCATGTAAACAAATCCAGTAGTGGAGCCAAAAAAAATGGGTCACATAGGTTCACCGATTGATTTTCTAACATCTGTTTGCCGTTTGAGTTCACCTACCGCTGCAGTTCTTCAATTACATACAATGATGGTTTTTTTTAAGTAAACACGAATGTATAGCTACAATGAGTCAATAGTATAGTACTCTGTGTCATTAGACACAACATGAAGCAATTTAAACATTTTCTTTGCAGAGCTCAGACTCGCTATTTCTTGCAAACTCATCATCAAGTTTATCCCTCTAAAAAAAAAAAAAAAACTTCGCTATACTTCTCTTTACCTACATCCCTGCAGCTGCATAATTTCACAAGAAAATGAGCCATAAGAAAAAAAATCATTAACATCAGCAAAAGATATTTCAGGCAGAGAGAATGGCTCAATGTGCTGCTCAATGATCAGAGCAGCCGGCAGGCTTTACAGCCTCCTGTGTCCGTCCCTTATCGCCGCATCTCGCTCTCACATCTGAAGTACATGATGGGGAAGGAGCACTAAAAACACATCTCCTAGGGATAAAGAAAAAAGTGAGAGGCTATGACAGCAGTAAATTGGCTTTTTCCTCCCCTGAGCTTTACTCCAGACTTCCCGTGCATGCTGAGCAATTTGAATTGTGCTGTAATTGCTTATGTTGCTTTTCTCTCCTCGTCATTTCTACAATAGAATTTGATCTCATTACTTTTGCCCGTGGTTGAATTCTCAGCCAGTAGGAATGATACTAAGTGGCATGTTAACAGAAGAAGAAGAGCAGGGTGACTGTTGCACTCAGTTTTTTTTTTCTTGTTGTTTTTTTTTTTGGTTAACAAAGCGAGAAGAACCGTACATAATGCGACCACACACCGGTTCACATCTTATCACTTTGTAAATGAAGCAACTTCAAAAAGCGGTTCCTCTTTCTGTTCTTTTTCTTTTTTTAAATGGCACAAAGCAGTTTAAGTGCGGTGCGGGTTCTTATTAGCTTGTTGTAAAGTGGATTATCTTACTCAACCACAGTATGAAGGAGGGAGAGGAAAAGCCGAAGGGGCAGCAGAGAAACGGATGTGACATGAGTCATGAAATAGAAATCAAAAGCTGCGCTCATGCCTGGTTGCAGTGGAGTCGACTGGTTATGGTTTTTGGGAGCACGTATAGTATATGTGGCCTTGGGCGATGTGCTTCTTGTTAAAGGAGGGGATGCACTTTGAGTGTGAAGCAGGCTCTAGATAGAGTATTTGCCCAGACAGCACTTCTCAATTCACCCGTCCACTCATGTATCTGCTCACGTTGTTTCCTTCCTTTCATAGGAGATGACTCGAGCAAAGACATGGTGGAGCTACTGATATCTTTTAACTCCTGAAAAGGCTCAAGAGGAAAAACAGAATTATAAAACAAAGCTAAGATATTTAAAAAAATAATAATAAAAAAATGAAACGGGAAAATAAAAAAACGGTATGAGCATTTACATTTCTCCTTCGCAAACTGTCCGCTGTGGTTCATTCTGAGCGCTGACATGGATTCGACAGTGTAAAATGAGAAGGAGGTGGAGGCTTCAGTAGCTCCAGCGCTCCCAGTCCAACACGAGCGTGGTCAGCAGCAGTAATGGTAACATGGGCGCTGCTTGGCCGGCTGCTCCCCGCTGGCTCCCTCTCGCACCCGATTCCATGTTAGAGTCCTTCTCGGAATACGGCGGGATGACGTTGAACTCCTCGCTCGCTTCCTCCTCCTGCTCCTCTTCCTCACTGTCCTCCATCTGTAAAAAGCACGGAAAGAGCGATTCCTCCAATTAACACGAGTGGTGAAGCGTGGAGGGGAGGTCAGGGAGAGAAAGTCTACATTAACACAGAATTTACTATGTATGCAAATATCCCAGAGCTACAAGGAAAATAACCAAGAAGCTGAGACATGACTGTGGATCAAATGACACAAGAATAAAATGAATCACACGTGAGTTAGAAGGGTGGTGATTAAGCTCTGTTGCTGAAAATGGGCTGTGGATTATGTTCTTCACGTGTTGCTTTTAGTGTGTCCATTCAATGTCTTCCTGTGTGTGAAAAACATGTTTTGATGAATGATTACTGGGATAACAACAACACACTCATCTATGATGCATTATACTTACATTTATGCTTGATTTGAAAGTAAATTAAGGCGCTGATTAGGATCACGACTCTTTTATGAATTGGTAATATCAGAGCAAACGCAGCAGCATGACGCATAACTTACATTTCTTGTTTATTATCGAGCAGTGAGCCTGATTTGAAAGATTTCTATTAAAAACAAATATTAAAGAACCATCGCTAATTGTGTTAGTGAAAACAATGACCCACGTATTGGCAGAAATCCCAGATTTAATACAGATCAACACCAAAAATCTGTCTAATAAGTGTCGGATGGTTGGTGCTGACAGACAAACAAACCCACAGTAAAGACATTTCCAGTGTGTATTGTATAGAATTGGCCTTCTGATTTGGTCCCTACGCACAAGTTACATGAAGTCAAAACAGTAGCTGTGGAAGACAAAGCTGAGGAGAAAATATACTGTAAATGAAACAGGTAAACACACTCCACTGTAAGCAGGAAACAGCACTGGTACTGGTACTTGCTCATCCAGCTGTTAGAACTTTTTATTTATTTATTTGTTAAAACTAATCAATACCGACACTGTACAAACTAAGAATCTTGAGGCTCTTGTTGGACCACTATAGACTGCAAGGCTCGCGTCTTGTACTGCAAAAGAAATTAAATAATGAAGAATCCCAAAATACAACTGTCCTTGGTAGATTTTGTAACCCTCCATAATTACATATTAAATGTAAAAATGAGAATCATAAAAACTTAAAACTTGCAGAAAGCCATCCAACTTAGAAATGTAATATTACGTCTATTATGAATATGAATGAAAACCACATTTTAAGATTCCCTAAAAAAAAAAAAAAAAAAATCTCAGTTCTATTATCGTTTTACTATTCTGACTGAGTCTGGAAACAGATTGTTGGGGGAAAGTTTTTGCCAAAAAAAAGAGTAAAACTGGGATGGTTTCAATTAAAAACAAATAAATAAAACAGCACTAGTTCCTATAGGGAGCTGCATGGAGGCTCGGTGGTTAGCACCATCACCGTTTGCATCTCGGGCTGGGATCTTTCTGCGTGGAGTTTGCATGTTCTCTCCGTGCAGTGTGGGTTCTCTCCGGGTTCTCCGGCTTCCTCCCATATAGTCCAAAAACAAGTTTGAGGTTAATTGGTGATTCTAAATTGTCTGTAGGTGTGAATGTGAGTGTGCTTGGTTGTCTGTCTCTAAGTGTAGCCCTGTGATAGACTGGTGACCTGTCCAGGGTGTCCCCTGCCTTCACCCTAAGTCAGCTGGGATAGACTCCAGCCCCCCATGACCCTAGTGAGCATTAACCAGTGTATAGATGATGGATGGATGGATGGATAGTTCTTATTGGTACACAGTTAGGGTTGTCACAATCATGAAATTTTAGTTGTTCATACAGTGTTCATTTTATACCTCTGTTAGTTTTACATTAGTGGTAATAACACCTTTGATCACCACCTTTTTGCTGCAACTTCAACAAATTGCTTTCTGTAAGTCATTGGACTCTCCTTTAACATTTGGCTTAAAACCATCGCAGCGGTGCTGTGATGTTTGACTTTGCAACTCACTCCGTGACGCTAATGTCAACAGATGCTCATTGACATGCAGCAGGTCGAACACTACAAGTTTAGCGCCTTGAGATAAACAGTTGGCACCATTTAACTAAAGCAGTGATTGAAACATGACATTTCTGGTAGATTCATCTGGCCGTTTCTATGCAGGTGAATGGTGCATTATGCAAAATGATTACGGTGAGCTCGAATATTCACAATCAGGTGATTATATATGGCTTTTCTTGGTTATCGGCAGGTAGGTTGACACCTTGACACAGTCGTTCTGTGGACTTCACTTTCTCTTTATGTAACCCCAGACTGACTGAAGCTGAGATCAGGGCTCTGGGGGTCATAATATCTGCTACAGGGCTCTTGTTCTGTCTGTCACTGAAGATATTACTTCAGCTATATCTTTGGGGTCATTATGTCCTGCTGCAGTATGAATTTGGAACAGGTGAGATCCTTCAATCAGGTACTGCATGATGGATAAGAGGCTTGGAAAAAAATGGAACAGTAGTGTATATTTCTGAGAGGAAACATTGACAGCAGTGTGCCATAGCTTAATATAAAGACAGCACATGCTTATTTTCATCTGTTTCTATTGAAATGTGTCCAAACCTCATGAAACAATATCATCAATCCCAGCCCGTCTGGTCTGCCGGATTACATTTCAGCTCACACACCAAACAGCAGTCAGCCGTCAGCAGGTTAGCTCAGTCGTGGCTGTGCTACTTGCATGTAGGCTGAATGTCTTTCACCTGAAGGTCATAGCTACTTGCTGAAGTGATGCAAAAAAAAAAAGTGCTCCTGGGTGTGTCACTGTTGGAAGTGTAGCTGAACACACTTCTAAGCACACAGATCCACACCCAGCACTGACACTGGATGTGATCAGAGGTGCAACATAACAAAAACCGTCAACAAAGACGACACTGAATGGTGCTTTTCAGTATTTTACTGCGTTACTCCCAAACTTTCAGTGGCTTTGCCTCTTTGCTTGAGTTTTACTTGATTCAAAATAGCCTTGACATGTCACTGGCATCGAAACTAGAGGAGAAAACTTGTTGTACCTCCTCTTTATTGTCGCACAGCAATCATTTTTTTAGTGTCCATTTGACTTCTTTTAAATTTTCATGGACAGTCAATTCAAAAAATGTTCTCAAATCAGATTTAAAGCGTGGAGAATTTAGTGTCACTGCAGTATATGTTTTCCTTATCGCTTCTGCTAGAATTCGTCATCTGATTATTTCAGTGGTAGTGTAAACAACAAACAGGAAATTGAAGTGGATCACCTTTAAATGAACTGTGTTTCTGGATGTACGCTATATCCACTAACGGCACGGCTTCTGTGCTGCAAAGGTTTGTGGGATGGGATATGAGGAAGAGGAAATGCGGAATGAGTAGGATTAAAATGGTGAGAGAATGGGGAATATGGAGCAGATGGGTGTGCATATATGAATATTAACAGTAAGGGTTGAGTCTAATGCTGCAAACACCTACGGCTAATCCTCAGCCACAATGAGAGGTATGGGCAGGAGCGGGAGGGGGAGGGAAATAATCTGAGGTTATACAAGGAGCTCCTGGGTCCAACTCACTGCTACAGTCCCTGGTAGGTGTTACCACCTGATATACGCTTCTTCAGCTGAACTGGTACCAAGTGTTGAACACAAGCATATGATGAGACGGTGTAGAGAGTACTCACACTGTTGAATTCAGGGAGAGTGTTAACGCTGACATGGACCGTCTCCTGGTAGACGCGTGGGGAGGGCTGAGAAGCTGGCACTGGAGTGTTTTCCACAGGAGGAGGTGCGGAGATTCCCATGGAGCTGATGGCATTGCCTGAAACAAAATCAGCAGGGGGCATCTTCATTATGTTCACATCATTATTCATCTTTGAAGCATCACCAAAACATTATCAGCGACTTTTCGAAGCATAGTTAGAACTAACCACTCTGTAAATACTGGGCATAATTGGCTAAGATATGAATATATTGCTTTTTTACTTTTAAGTCATGTCCAGCAATTTGGCTTAGACTGATTTATCTCCACAGCCATCGGATGGCGGGATATGAAAGTGGTACATACATCCAAGTCCCCGATGGGAAGGATTCTGAAAGGTGAACTCTTCTGATTTTTAATCTAGTGCCAGCATCAGGTGAAAACTTTTATTTGTTCAATACTTCTCGTTTGCTCACTGCACACAGAAAAATTGGATGAAAAAATTTAATTATACATCTCTTCTAGACTTTCCAAATGTTATTGCACCTGACCTAAATCCAATTGAGTTCCTGTGGGCAGCCATAAGGGGGGAAAAAAAACTGTCAGCTTGCTGATACTCTACAGTGGATAAACTAAGAGCTGGCTGAAACATAAAGGAAACCTTCACCACAGTCGTTGGTATACTGGCCATCAGGGCATACTGGGACAGTCTAAAAATCTCTTTAGCAGCCCTCTCTAGGTGGCTGTCATTTGGTGTGAGAGTGAGCTGCATGCATGGAATCAAAAGTTATAGACCCAACTGGATCTGCATTTCTCTCCCAGTACACCCCTGACCACAGCTAATACAGAAACTGGTTGATTCCATGCCCAGATGTTGTCAAGCACTTAAAGGTTGCCAAACTAAAACATTAACAAACAGTGACTGTATTTTTTGTGCCTTAATTTTGAACTATATATCTAATGTTTGTAAGCAGGGATGCACGATATATGGGCGACCACATCGGTATCGGCAGATAGTAGTGTTATTTCCGATAAATCAGGATCAGCACAATAAAAACAAATTTAGCCGATGTGAAAAACCAATGATTGTCTAACATTAGCGCCTTCGTCTCTACATTTGACATTGCTGCTATTTAACAGATGTTTTTACTTAAATGATCCTGGACTTGAATGTTGAATATGTTAAAATATATTGAAATGTGTTACGTAATAAAGACGACTTTGTGGTCGAGCTTGGTTTGGGCTTCTTTTGAATAGTTTTCACCTTCTCACAGTGATTAGTTATACTTGTTTTTCGGTGTGAACAAAAATTGAATATCTACATCTGTAATATCGGTTATTGGCGATATCAGCATTCTTAATATCAAATATCGGTATCGGCCAGAAATGTTAATATCGTGCATCACTATTTGTAAGCTTAAACCATTTTCTTACACCAAAACATTACTTCTACCTTAAATGAATTGCCCTGGCTTCCTTGCAGGTTATGTCAAGTATTGACAGTCATACATTTTTAGGGCTACTTTTGTCCAGTGCAGTTTATCTAATATAAATAAGTGGGTAGGATATATTTAAAAAAGCAAACAAATGGTAATGTGGAAACCTAAAAATAAGTCAGGGTAATCTCTGCTTCCTTTGTTTTTCTGGCTTGTGTTTGCATTAGTGGGCATCCACTCAACTAATCTTCTGAATAAGACAAATAATGTGACGCAGGAAAAGTGACTTTATTGACGTCTACAGGTTGATTTCAAGTTGTGTCACGCTTCCAATTACTTGTATTGTCTCCAACTCTTTTACATTCACTGCTGCAAAGTGCTCACAAAACAACGGTGAGTTTAAATCTGACAGTAACTTAGTTGTCTTTTTACTCAAAACAGTATTTCTTCAGTAAGAACCTTTGCCACTCTTTCACCTCTTGTGGTTTGGAAACAATTCAACAAGAAGTCACATTATGTTTATCAGATTTGGTGAAAGGAATTCATTGACTCCACAGAGCCTGGAAATCACATTCACATTTGGCAGCCAGCCACACACCAGGGAAATTGTCTCTTGCCATTCATTTATTTATAAGAAAACATTACGGTTCAGTGGTTCGCCCTCTCAATCATCAATTATGACCCACCTCATTTGAATTCGGTAATAATGCACATTATAAAATGCTCAGTTAGATCAGCATCTCGACGTTAATTTAGATAATACTTGCGTTTGACAGCTATAAAGGTAACATTTCCTCTGTCATTATGCTGACACAGGAGGAATTGGCAGCTATGGCACACTGTGCCTGAAGACGAGCAGCGTGTCTGAAGTTTGGGAACATTGCATCACTCAAACTACTGGACTGACTTGGAAGAATAATCAACTGTTCACGCTTCCACTTAAAAGTCTTGGGATCTGAGGTGACCCAATAGCCAAGGGGTTAGAGCTCACACCACATGGGTGCAAATGCCGTCATTCCGTTGCTCTCTTGCCCCACATTCCCTGCCTTTCTCCACTGTCACCGACTAACAAAGGCAAAAATCGCCCTCAAAATGTCTTGGGAACTTCAATAACACTGTTGTCCATTAATTGAAAGCTTGGTGGTTTGATCCCTGCCCCATCATGTGCTGACATGTCTTTGAACGAGACACCGCACCCCAAGTTGCTCCCACGAGTCGCCAAGCACCTTGCACGCACATCATAGATGTGTAAGTGTGTGAATGGGTGAACGGGAAACCAACTGTGCGGCTCTTTGTAGAAGCCAGCTGGGGTTAAAAAAGCTGCTATATAAGTGCGGACCATTTAACAAGCCCCGGGCTGCAACCTGCCACACTGAGAGTAACTAAAAGTTTTGCCGAGGATTTAGATCGTGCAGTAAGTGCGGCGAATTATCCATTTTAATTACAGTTTTGGTCTTCCTGCGTGCAACTGTTTCACCACAACTATTCCACATTTTGGAGGGAACACCGAAGCCACATCCTTCACTTAGTCCTGCCCACAATGACTGTGATTGGTTTAAAGAAATACAAACAAGCCAGTGTTTTCCCCCCTACAGTGGAGTGATAGTTTGGTACAGCTGAACCATTACGTTCTACAAAACGGGCTGGCAAAAAGAAACTAATAATATGTTTATTAGTTTCTCTTTGGCTAAAAAGCTTCCAAGTGCAGACGGTGGTTGTTGAAGTCAGGATAAGTGCATTATCTATGCTGATGTTTTAAATGTCCTGAAACTACAGTATTCTGTGCATCTCGTTGATTATGTACAGCTTCTAATCCCAAGAAGCTTCAACTCCATTTTTACTAAAGCATTTAGCTCTTGTTACTAATACAAGCACTGCATTCATTAGCACATTTGCAGTTTTAATTCTTTGCTACAAGACAAGCAGCCTTGAAGCTGCACTGCGCCGCCTGCCCTAACCTTGACATGCTTTACTCACGTAGGCATATGTTGCTGCTGAACATGTGCAGGATGCGCTGACATCCTTGCCATTCGTTGCCGCTGCCTTCACATGTGCACCACTGGGACACCTCTGTGCTGCTGTTGCTCACGTAGTTTGGAGTCATGATGGTTCCTGGTCACAGAAAAAGAACAGAAGTGATAATGCAGGTGCAACTTTATAAACTCAGTAGATAGTATTTTACTCAGACTAAGGATTTTGTATTTTCAGCATACACCCCTATGGAAGATAAGACACAGTCTCCCAGAGATATTAGATGCCCTGTGGATCCAGTGTCACAGTTTTCCAGCCTTTGATACTGATAATTGCAGGTACACAAAATTACTTTTCAGGTGTGGGGAAACAGAAGGAAATAATATTGCCTGCATCATTTTGTGGAGCTGCTGGAAATGCAATTTCTGACTCAGAGCTGCAGCTTTTGGCAGATGACCATTTAAGAACCCCTGTGGAGTTATTTTGTGCACCAAAATGAAAATTATAAAGGCCAAATATCACTGTTAGACACCTGCTGATAACAGGTTCTGTAAGTGGCTTTCTGCCAATTCTTCTCCGAACTATTCAGTCTTTTAGCCTCCTCTACCTCTTTAATTTGTTTTCCTCCATCTCACCTATGAGTCCAGCGTAGGCCTTCAGGCACATGGCTCTGCTCTCTCGCATACAGCCAGAGGCAGAGAGAGGGGAGGGCTGGCAGTTGTGCTGGAAATCAGCAAACCGGGATCTGAAACACACACACACACACACACACACACACAGAAACGCAGAGGAGAAAACTGTTTTTTTATATGTCAGCACAGAGAAACAGAGTGTGCATTTTAAAGTGTTTCGACAATTTCATTTTGGGATTCAGGGTTGTGCTGAATCAAAACAGCAAAAGCAACACAAACAGCAACATAGTGTAAGAGCACCAAACATAAAGCCAGGGAAAGAGATAGCTGTGCACTCACATTGTAAACCATGTGTTAGTTCAGCAGAGCTTCAGGATATTCAGTTTTCTAGCCCACCAGCCACTTCTCTGTGGTAAACTATTCAGAAAGTCAATCTAACATTGTAATTTCATAGTGCACCTACAGTCACACCTGCAGTGGTTTACGATCCATAGATTTTTACAAGTAGATGATGTTTACAAAGCTTAAAATCCACCAAGGAGGTAGCAGTACCAGGACCAGGTCACTTCTGTTGGTAAAATACGACTTCCTGTCATGTTGAGGAGGTTGCCGATCTTGACACACTAAACCAAGTCTCCTACAACGATTGAAACGGCTGCAGCTTCATCTCTTTTATCAATTCTGGAGGAGATACTGCTGAAATATTTTAGAATAGAGTCAACACCATCAGGGTCTACAGAGTCATTGTAATAAGGCTGTTTTTCAATCACTAATTCAGGATATTGATTACGTCAAACAAAACTTTTTTGCTGGAATTTCTCACCTCTCACTCTGGTCTGGTTTTTTAAAAAGTCTCCACAGTGTTTTTTTTAAATCCATCTTATCCATACAGTCCAAGGTTGCCGTGTTTGGCCTTACAGTCGAGGAGATGCTACTGGCTGTATTTTTCTTCAAGCGTGAATTTTTAAAAAAAAGCAGCCAGGGCTTCAGGGGTTAATGTATTAAACATGCACACACTCGGCGTAAAATATCTTGTCATTTGTAGCCGAATAAATCATAGATTTCATCAATAATCGAAAACAGACGTGTAACTGTATGTCTTGATGTAAAACTGGAGACAAAGACTGGGATGAGTGTTTCAGAGCTCTTCAGTGGAAGCTCACAATAACAACGCATGTGAACAGAAGAATCTTTTTTTTTGTTTTAAATCTGTTACTAATAATGCAGCTCTCTAATCAGGCTCTCATTTTCAAATAACTCTCAAGTAATCTTTTCTCTTTTATGATTAATAACCTCTGATACATTTACACGAAGATTAGAGCGTAAGTAATGTAAGTTCTATACATTTATGAACAACAAGCCGACGGAGCGCGCACTAAAATTAGCCTCACAAAAGCTGCTGTAATCACACTGATGATTAAGAGTGTAGCTGTGGATTCTGGGCTTCTAAAAGCAAACTGTTCACTCCCACATCCTTCTTTTCTGTCTGAAAAACATAACCCTTATTGAGTTCTTGCTGGCCCCAAAAGAACTGTCACCTTCCTATACAGTATTTCTCTGAAGAAACACTGAAGATATAATACATTGAAGATATAAAAGGACTCCTTATAATTTCAGACATCTTGCTTTGTACCGTTGTGTTAATGCTCAACTGCTCCGAGCAAAAAAAGAAGCTGTGCCGAGCCTTGAGGCCAAAGACACCCTTTGTATGGATTTCTTTGTTCTTAAAGCATCTGCAAAGGTGATTTTTGAATAATCTGAATTGTTAACATCCAGGTTTATAATAGCTCATAGCTCTCCTCTCCTGAGCTAGCTCGCCATCACAATCACCATTAGTGGAAAAGAGATTCGCTGTATATAGCTACAATTTACATTAATACCCTCTCCAGTCAGCTGAGAAGTGTATTTCATTAGTATCCCTTTTGCGCGTTCGCAACTTTGTTCTGTTGAAGCAAGATTAGTCAATTACTTGATTCATCAATGAACAGAAAATTAATTTGCAGCTGTTTTGATGAATGATTGATTATGTAAGCCATTTTTCAAGCAAACTGCCACGAATTCAGTGGTTCCGGCCTCTAAACCGTATAAATATGCTGCTTTTCTTTGCCTTATGTCAAAGAAATCTGAGCATCTTGGACGCTTTGATCATTAAAAAAACATATTTTAATGTCATTTTTGGGGCTCTAACGAAAAAGTGATGACGGTTTCCCTATTTTGTTATGCATAGAATAATCAATAAAAGAACTGGCAGGGATTAATCAGTAATGAAAACAATCATTAGCAGCAGCTCTACGTGAGACACTAACAAAACAGGGAGTCACTCATCAAAACACTGCTCAATAGTGCAAATGCATCTCAACAAAACATCACAGGGCTTTTAATGTTGCCTTTTCATGTGCCGTTGATGCACTAGCCGTGGCATTTTCTGAAACTTTGAAAACCTATTCTGAAACTGAATGTTTCTGTTTTGTGTTGCTCTCGTGTTAAAACCCTTACAAGGGGCCACTTAACGGACCAAATCAATACGCTCACATGGCCGTCTTACCTACACAGCTCGTCTCTGGAGCAGTAGTTCTGCAGGCTGAGGCAGTTGGGTTTGCCCACTCTTTCCTCCCCTCTCGCGCTCTCCTCATAGGAACATGACGGGACGATGGTTTTCCTCCGGCGCTCCCCGCACAGAGTGTCAGAGCAGGGACAGAAGAGCAAAGCAAAGCTGTACTCCTCTGGCACACGCTCCAGGAAGCGCCGCAGGGCTTTGTGGCATTTCTGGCGGTTACAGCTGTTGTCAGAGACTGTTGCTCGCTTGGTGCAGGCCACAACGTATTCTGACCGCAGGGAGCCACATTTCTCATAGAGGCCACAGTCCTGAGCTGCCTTCAGACACTGGTTTTGGCCGTCCACGGATAGGGAGGAGGCTTCACGAGGAAAACAGAGTAATGTATGTCAGGAAAATAAAAATCTTAGATTGCATTTGAGAGCAACAGCAGGTTAAAACAGGACCCTACCTGCCATGATGGAGGCCATACGGGACATCTCTATGTTTCTCACCAGATTTAACTCCAGTTCTTCATACGGAGACACGTCGTATTCATCATATGCTGAAGCAACAAGAACCACACGTATTATGCAGCTGAGAATTCAAAGAACTCCCTGCACCACGCACAAGCCAATTCTTAAAACCCACCTGCAAATCTCACAGTCCAGTAGACCCTGAGGCAGTGTTCCTCCCTGCGAGAGCCACGCTGACACTTGCAAACTTGAAGGGGGCGATAATGCTGCAAGGAGTTCTGGGCCTCCAGGCACTCCAGGCGGGCATCTGGGCCGAGGGGAGACACGGCCTCCTCGGCGGCGCAGTACTCCAGCAGGCGATAGATGACCATGCAGGACTGCTCCTGGATGCAGCCCTGCTCCGCCACCAGACAGTCTAAGGACGCAGACACTGGCACGCTACCTGGAGGAGAGTGGACGGAGTTTATGGTCTCATCATCCAGTATTAGTCCTTGAGCTAAATAGGCTTTAATTAAGACAGCAGAGCGAGGCGAGTGCACTCCAAAGACACGCCACTGTACTGCAGGTTACTATAATATCCAAAAAGGACTGAATTAAATTAAATTGGAATCACAAAAGTGTAATAGAGTAGCAAACGTGGGCGAAACCTCAATGTTCCTCATAGAAACACAGGAGTCGAGAGAATAATTTAACACCATAGGGTTATGTTGCAGTTATAATTGCTTCTTAATTATTTCTTTATCTTCTCGGTGGGAGTCCTAGTTGGCATCTCTCCTAATGTTTTTATGCACACACTCTTACAGTGTATCTTTGACTTTTTATTAATGCATTAGTTTTTTTTTTTCCACCACGGTGTCTCAGTGTTTGTATCAATGAGAGATGCATGTCCATCCAAGCTTTTGAAAATGTTCCAGCTGTCAGTCTCCTCACATTTTGGTACAACAGAGTCAGATACTGTGAGTTGGCCTCATCTTTCTTATCACACACCCCAATGCTCCTGGATAGGTGAGCTCAAAAAAAGAACTTTTAGATAATTTTTGTGAATTTATGGTGCCTTCCTGTCAGGTTTCAAACCTGGCTGTCAGGCTGTAGATTATCCTTCTCCCTTTTTTTGTATTCTGCACAGTATCCTAATGCTCTGTTTTTGTTATTTTGAAGGAACAAGTGAGCAAAGAGGACGATCCCGCAATAGTCATTAATCATTTCAGTTATTTTAGTAATTTATTTCCTCAGTTGGTACACACACACACACACACACACACACACACGCACACAAGCAAAAGTTTGATTTTCTTCTCTAAATTAATGCTACTATACTATATGATACCATTTACTGGTCTGAACCTACTCGTGTTTCTCATCCCCTCGATTCCCTCTTTCCAAAGTATGATTTATCCCATTAAATCCAACATTGCTACTGCTGAACTCTCTCAAAGCACAGTTTTAATTTACATTTTACCAGTGTCTCATATCACAGATGTTCATTCCACAGTTACAACATTTTGCAGTGTTCATTTTTTTGTGTCAAACACATTTTTGTGTCACTTGAAAAACTGTCCTCGCTCATCTGTTCAAGTGCTTCTTACAGAGACTTAAGAGTCGTCTGCTTAACGGCGCTGCATTCATGAGCCCGACAGAAATTCTACCTAGAAGACAATCAAATGAGGGTGTTGTGAAATAAATTTGTTTCCTGCTTCAAAAGGGATGCTGTTCAACAGCCACCTCTCATGTTTTGGATGCCTCTTTGATCAGCGAGTACTTGAACCATCATCAAGAGAGAATATTCAGAATAGTCCCTTCCTATGTGACAATCACAACATTTTGGTTCAAATAAACGAAGGCCAATAGCTGTCTGGAAACCAGGAAATGTGCGTTCATCTTTGAAAAACAGTGAGATGCCATTAAAAACCTAAATCTATAAGATAAAATAGGCTAAAAGATGTAAAAGCACAAGTTTGGTGCTTTTGGATGTGGCATACAATATCTTAAAATACGTGTACTCATGGATGTCTTGCACAAAAATACTGCTGGTATTATTGAAAGGCACATGAACAGCTTGGGGCAAAACCTTTTGCAGCAGAGTCTCTTCCATTTTGATACAAGCTTTACTCCAATGTCAGACACTATCTCCACCTGTAATGCCAGAGACAAAACCAATTTATTCAGCACTGTTCAGCAATTCCGACCAACCAACCAATACTTTTGCTTCCAATTTTGCTTTCACACAGAGACTCAGTCTGGATATCACATTCAGACAGTGGCTCAACTCAAATGTCCTCTTTGAGAATGTTTCCCCCCCCGAAGTTCTATTAGATGTATAGTCTGAGGCAAATGTTTTTATCTGACAGATGCATCAGCACATGCTACACCTACAAAACAACCCGCCTGAAGATGCTGCGGGTTTATTTCACCATACACATATTTAAAATCGTTCATCCCAAAGAGCAATAAAAGGGTCACTCTGTGCAAATGTGCTGCATATCAGTAGCCACATTCCCTCCACATCTAATGCGACACTCAATAGAAAAGCAGTGTTGGTCCATAGCGATTAAGCACTGAGCATATTTTGATTGGCAGTGTTCTGTCTCGAATGACTGGAAGTGAAAAAACACAAATCATTTCATAATGCTGATTGTTGCTCCATGAAAAAAACACAATGCAGGAAGGCCAGAGACAGCTGGAGGGAGGCAAAGGGAAAAAAAATGAAAGCCCTCTTCAAAAAGTGTATTGTGACGGAGCATTTCAGGAAATTAATTTTCTCAAATGTGACACATAATTGTCCCCACAAATTACACTTTTTACACAATGATTCAAGACTTAGAAGGAAAAATCACTTGGGAAGGCAATATGCACACACTTTCCCCACTTTATCTTCTTAATTTGCTATATCCTGTCACTTTTTAGCGGCGCAAAAAGAATAAGCTGGCAGCCACATAAAATATGCAGCGTAGTTAGGAATGAGTTGAGTAAATATTCATGTTTGAACCTAATGCATGTCTTTTAACAAATAAATGTACCTATTTTATCCTCACATGTACTTATGTTTCAGTACAATATACATCAAAAGAAGCTCATATACAAACACACACAGCATTGTGTTAGATCGGTCACACACTTCGATTAAGCTCCTGCTGACTGGCGGCACAAAGCGCGGCTGCAATCCAATTCTGCTGCTGCATGTTTTGCAATCTCAGACGCCACATGAGGTCCACGTCTCACTTTGGCATGAGACATATCATAAACAGAAGCTACGCTCCATCGCCGCTGCAGGAAAACTTCCAAAGCTACTGCAGTGACTCCATAGGGGGAGGTGGGGGAGAGAGAAAAAAAAAAAATAGGAGGCAAACACACAGGGCAGTGAGTCATATTCACAGCCACAGCTCTCTAAGGTATGTAAAGGTGATGATTACCTGTCTATCTGCCTATCTATGTATCATGATACCCTGGTAATTATACGAAAGTATTAAATCCCGCCATGTTTCGCTGCAATTTAGACAAGCTTCACGTAATCTCCTGTTTGGGCAGTGAACAGTTTGTTCATTATTCCTTCTCAGTGTTTGCTCCCTCAGGCTCACCATTGATAAAGAGAGACTATCAGCAGTTTTAGTTCCGAGCTTTTCTTTGCACACACACACACGCACACACACACACACACACACATACATATATATATATGCACAGATAACAAAAACCCTATATAGAGTACAGAGCAGCTCTGCTAAATCTTGTCCAGCAGACAGGTCAGAATTATTATTAATAATTCCCACATTATTTAATGTCACGATGATAAAGAAGCACTGTGCTCACATTAGGCTGCTCACGATGCAACAAATTGCGAAAGTAAAACTCTGGGTTAAGGGATTTCTGACAGTGGGGGTTGGGTGGGGGATGTTTTTAAAGAATAGAAGGAGTGAAAAAGTAAATGGGAGATGAATTACTGTGATACGCGAGCCATAATGCACTCTATTGATTTCTCACTGGGGTGATTAATAGAATTTGTGAGGCAAAACTGATGAAGGTTAACGCCATAAACGGTGAAAACCCTACACGTACGGACAATCACTGGGAGCAAACTGGTTTTTGTCAAATTTTCTCCCTCAGTCCTTTTTCAAACACGTGGGCCGGGCCGCGGAGCGCCCAGATTGTCGGGCGGTAATTTGACTCGAGAGGAGACCGTGGCGGGAGAGTGTGACTCTGATGTGAAATGTGCTCGCGGATTGTGACAGAAGGGACTCGTTGGAAGGAAGTCACAAGCTCAAGGAGGAAATGGCAGCGAGGCGGCAAGATGGAGCAAAAGTGAGACTAGATAAACATGTTGGCGACTTCTGCTGTTTGTTATTGCTGGCACCTCTTCACCTCACCTACAACCAAACCAGTGGGACTCCCGACTGGACTCAACATAAATTTGTGTGTGTTTTACATGCACATTCACATAAAGGCTTTCATTTGTGGTAATTGGGACGTTAGTAGCTATAGATTTGTGCCTGCGAATTTTCATTTCAAGTCGTTAAGATTGTCTTCCTGCACACTCTGAAGGTGAACATTACTGGGTTTCTTAGTCTACTAATGAGCAAATTAAATATTCTTTGGCTTAAACTTTAGTCGAACAAAACAAGCACCATGAGGGTGTCAAGTTAGGAGTTAGTCACAGCCTTAAATTCAACTGTGCTTTTATAGCTGCAATGACAATTAACTTTTTGAACTCTGATGAGTCTGTTTTAAATATCTGTCCTGTTGTGTTCATTAGAGCCACATTATACGGGGCTGATTCATGATAACGAAAATATTTATTCCTTTTCTGGATATAATCAAATCTTGGTCGGTGTAAATGGGATGAAGTATTTATTTTCACATATTGTAATGTCTCCAGTGTGCAGCGCAATTTAAAAAAATAAATAAACATTAATGATTTTATCTTCTCCATAATTGCACTGTTTTGTGTTGTTGTCATGGTTTTCTTACATGTTTATCTGCCTGGCTGTCCAAACTGTCTGTACGGGCTCTTAATAAAGACTGAGGTGAATTGATTAATTGAATTTTAATGTGCAAGTTAACACACTAATTGACCTCAAGAGACCATTCGGGAAAGCACGGGGCTAACAAATGTGAAGAAGTAAGCTTGCAGAACAAAATATGTTTCAAGTCAAAAGTGATAATAATAATAATACTGGAAAAATGACTAACCTTCAAAATAAAAATGACAAAAAAACAGTTGACAACATCCATCCATCCATCATCTATACACCACTTAATCCTCACTGGGGTCGCGGGGGGCCTATCCCAGCTGACCCTGGACCCTGGACAGGTCACAGTCTATCGCACACTTAGAGACAGACAACCAAGCACATTCACATTCACATCTACGAACAATTTAGAATCACCAATTAACCTCAGCATGTTTTTGGACCATGTGGGAGGAAGCCGGAGAACCTGGAGAGAACC